AAATTATCAGTATAAAATAAGTAAATAAATAATATAGGAGGAGAAAGAGAAGGAAGAAGTTGCCCTGGCCAGATCATATATTTTAACAATTAAAATGATGTTTAAATAAAAAGGTCTTTACCTGGCGCCAAAAAACCAGTAACGACGGTGCCAGGCGGACCTCTTTCTCTTGGTATACTTGGAAACGTGCATGTCGAAAGCGTGGGGCGGTCACAGGCGGGAGAGAACCACAGAGGCAAACATGCTGCCCTTCTTCGGCCGGATGTGTGCGATGGGTGTTTATCTGCCTTCCTGCGGTGATGGCATCTAGGCAAACAGCTTCAGCTTTTGTGGTCTGGCGGCAGAACTTCAATACCAAAACTGTGCAGGGAGAGCTTAGAAGCACAGAAACCGAGGGCCATCTAGCCTGACCCCCGGCTCCAGCCGACTCTGCTCATGACACGCCTACCATGTGCATGTCCAGCCTGTCCTTGAACACCCGCACCGATGGGAGCAGAGCTGGCGGGAGTTGGGGTCAGACTAGATGGCCGGGGAGGTCCCTTCTGACTCGTGCTGCTTCTAGGTTTCATTTCAGCCAGTGGGATTTCTTGAGCCAGCCTGTTAGAAGACAAGTCCAGTGCTGCTGGATCAGACTGAAGGTCCATCCAGTCCAGCGCTCCGTACACACAGTGGCCAACCAGCTGCCCGCAGGGTCCCTCCAGCAGGACGGTGCAAGGCCTCCCCCTGCCCGGCTCCGCGGCAACTGGGCCTCGCAGGCAGGCTGCCCCTAGTGAAGGAGGGAGCCCCTGGCCAGCAGGGCTAGTAACCCCGGAGAGCCTTCTCCCCCCTTTAAAGCCATCCAGACTGGCATCCATCAGCCCTTCCCAGGGCAGCAAATCCCATAGTTTAACTATATGCTACGTGAAGAAGGACTTCCCCTTTGTATGCTAAACCCCCCCGCCCATCAGCTTCATGGGATTTTGTGTAACTGTATTTTATTTTATACAGTTACATGTACTTTATATTGCTATTTATGTATTTTAATTTATTTATTTGTAAGCCGCCCCGAGGCTTCGGCGAATGGGGTGGCCTAGAAATTTTCCAAATAAATAAATAAAATGGGATGGCCCCGGTTCAAGTGTTCTGGGAGAGGCGGAACAATGTCTCCCTCTCCACTTTGTTGGTGCCGAGCACTATTTTAAACTCCTCTATCCTGACTCCCCTTCCTTGCCCTTTTCCTTAACTGAACAGTCCTGCTTGTTGCTGACTTGCAGAAATTCTTACATTGCCGGAGACGCAACGGCCGCTCAGTGCAGAGATAACTGAGCGGTCAGTTCGGATGGATCTGGTTTTGGCCACAAGATGGAGCTTCTGTTTTTCCGCCAAAATTGTACTATTTGCTGTTTACACCTTCTATTTATTTACACATTTATTTATTTATTACACCTTCTAGAAGTATAAGGGACAAAAAGGATGCATTGGATGCCACAACTTAGGGTGGTCAGTCAATGAAAGGAAAGCCTAGTGCATTAATAATATTAATGAAAATGTTAATTAGCATGTATCTGTGTGTATTTATTTATTAAATTTGTATGCCGTCCAATTACTTGTGTCTCTGGATGGCTTACAACATAGATAAATTGACAATCCACTCTGGTTGTAAATTAATAAAATACAACAATAAAATTCAGTATTAAAAATATTAAAATATTGATTAAATAACCTGGTGCCGAAAAACATATAATGACGGCGCCAGGCGGACCTCTCTGGGAAGCGCATTCCACAGTTGGGGCGCCACCGCAGAGAAGGCCCTCCTCCAGGTACTCTGTCTCCTGACCTCTTTCACAGAGGGTTCCCGGAGGAGGGCTTCTGTTGTGTATTTGCGTAAGAGTGAAACAATAGTTTTGGGAGGAAAATGCTTTATGTTTTTAAACAATGCACGTGTCTGTCGCAGCACACGGCATCTTCAAAGGAGCACCTCTTCCGTTGGGAGCAAAAAGGATCGCTCCTTCTGCTCTTCATACGCATGCAGCTTTTGCGCTCTTATGTTAACAAGAATTAATGTTGTCATGTTTTTGAAAAGCAAAGGAACAAAAGACGAACAAAATCATTCAAGAGGAACTAAATCAACTACATTTAGCAAGTTTGTTAGTGGGAAATCAACAAAGCATCTTGTGACCTGTTTAAAACTTAAAAAAAAAAAATGTTTGAATTAGACGTTATCAGGAAATTCAGTTTTGTCACCTGTGGCTTGAATCAAGCTAATAGGTTTTTATCCCTGTGTTAGTCGGCTAATCAGTGCCAAGTCGGTGGCAGTGTCGGCAGCGATGCCTTGCAAATGTTCCTGGTAATTATTGTGCCAAGTGTTCAGTGTAAGGATTTTTACTGTGGTTGCCAGCCAGCAGTTTTGCATTTCATTTCCCTCAGACTTCTTGGCTTAGCGTTCCACCTTCCCCTGCACCTGGTGTATTTAAACCTGCCAACGGAAAGCTTTCTGTGCAGTAATTCTAGTCTTTGCCATAATAAATTCATTTGGGCTTTTAACATGCCGCATGACTAACGTGTATCCCTACCTGAAAACTGTTCACCTCAGTGCCTTGAAACAGGCTGCAGAAATGTAGCACTTTTAAAATGGATTATTAAAAAGTTGGAATCGGGACTGAATTTTGACATTTTGACCCAGCCCATTGGGGTTATTAGAAATGTGTCAATCCTGTGCGATGGATTAATTAACCCTGATTCCACCTGCCTGCCTCCCAGTTCCCTGTGGAAGAAGCGGCAAGTTTTCTCCCTTTTGCACTGGGCTTTTTGGTGCTGGATAGTTGGGCTGGTCGCGGGGGGGGGGAGTTTAGCCCCAATGAGTGGCTGGTTGGGGTCCTGGTCACCCCTGCAGGTCGCCTTCTCCAGTGGCGTCACCTCTCTGTCTCCTGCAGGCGCCCTTCACCCGGTCTCTCTCCTTTCCTGCAGATCCGTGCTTACATCGGAGCGTTTGCCCCGGACTCCGACGACAGCGCAGACCTCCGGGCGCTGCGCTTCTTCTCCGTGAATTCCATCGTGGATCCGTGGGTCTTCATCATTTTTCGGACGTCCGTCTTTCGCTCTTGCCTCCGCCGGGTTTCTAGGAGGCTGAGCTCTCAGAAAGCCCCACATTCTCATCTCCTGGAAACTTGGCAGCGGAAAAGTTCCGGCCCGCTGCAATGAGGAATTTCCTTCCCTTGATGCTCATGGCTGGACTTTCTTCTGAGTAACGGTGTGATTCAGTGTCGCCTGGCAGTGGGCCCTGGTGTCACGGGCCACTGTCACGCTTGACCTCCCCGTGGTACTGCTCGCGGCAGGATCCGTGCCATCTGCTCCTCCAAGCCACGGCCTGGTGGCCTGGGACACCTCCAGGGAGCAGCCGCGAATGGGCTTGTCTGGCCTGCACTGCGGCTTTTGACAATCGGCGCTTTTGACAATCTGACAATCGGCGTAGCGCAGCCGCAGCCGGCAAATGAATCCCCCAGAGGCACCAAACCCGCTCCCATTCTGACAAGCTGTCTTGCGGATGTGGATCGGTCGTGGGGTGTTCCTGGCCTCAGAGGTGGAAGGGCAAGAAAGGAAGGAGACGAGCTCTCTCCGTTTGCAAAACTGTCCCTGCCTGCTTGCTCAGCGCAAGCGACCAGGTGTGCGTGTGTGTTTGGGCTGGTCCCTAGAGCATGTGCTCAGCTCTGCTTCTGTACTTCAGGTGCCCTGAGGCCCCCCCACCCACCCCGGCACTGCTGTCCTCCCACCGGGGCAGGGCTGGGCTCGCTGGGCTCGGCCTGATGTGCCCTCACCCATGGGAGGGAGGGCCGTGCGCAGACCTGGGGCCGGCAGCCGGAGAGGGACACGGAGCCAGAAGGATGCGTCCGCAAGAGAGCAGGTGGGACAGGAGGAGCCACGAAAAGCCCTGCTGGATCAGACGGGCACCACCCAGCCCAGCGTCCTGCTCCCTTGCTGGCCAATGTGCCTCTCTGCTCTTTTTCTCAGTTAAGTTTCTAGCAATTGTAAATGTTCCTTGTAGGAGAGTTGCTCCACCCCTGGATCATTTTAGTTCTCCTTTTCTGTGGTTTTCCCAACTCTACAGTGTCCTTTTTTAGATGTGGTGACCAGAACTCTTCACAGCATTCTAAGTTTGGTTGCACCATGGATTTATATAAGGTCAGAGTGGTACTGGCACTTTTGCTTCAGTTCCTTTCCTAATCCTTCCTAACATGGAATTAGCTTTTTCACAGCACTCGGGCACCGAGTTGCCCCCCTCGTTTCTTGGTCATTCACCACTAACTCAAATCCTTACCAGCTTAGGGTTGAAATGTTTGCCCCAATACGCATCGCTCTCCACTTGCTTATGTTGACCTGCATTTCCTCTTTCAATGCCCATCCTCCCAGTTGGGAGAGATCCTCACAATCCCTTTTTGTTTAACTTCCCTAAATAGTAGTGTGCACTCTGCAAACTTGGCCACCTCCCTGCTCATTCCTGATTTTTTAGGAATAGGTTCTTTGGTCCTAATACAGAGCTCCGAAGCACTCCACTCGTGACATCTGACCACTGGGAGAAGTTACCTTTTGTTCCCACCCCGTCTGCTGTTCCTTCACCGCTCGGAGGTCCATGAAGAGGACGCTCGCTTTTACTCCTATTCCACGACTTCTGCATTTGCTCAGGAGCTTTTTGGAAGGCCACTGGGTCGCCCCGTCCACCTGCTTAATAGCGCGCAGAGAAAGCTAATCCGTTACTGAGACAAGATGCATTTTTGCCAAAGCCTCGCTTCTTTTGCGGCAGGGCTTTGGCCTGTAATTTCTTGGATCTCCTTGTTTAAAAACAAAAAATGGTGTTACGTTGGCCCTTCTCCAGTCTCCTGGCACATGTCACACATGTCAGCAATTTCTGTTTGAGTTCTTTCAGAACTTCAGGATGCCAAATGCCCAGGCCTGGTGATGCATTAACTCTCAGCTTGTCAAACAGCTCAGGCAATTCATCTTTTCGCACAGCTGTTTGCCTCAATTACCGGGCTTTCTGGGAAAATCTGTTCTTCACCCCTGTTGTTTATTTTGGTTTTAGAGGTACTGAATAGATGTGTTAGGGATGACAAGGGCATCAAAGGAACTAGAATTAGGGACAAAAGTTATAAATTGCAAGCCTTTGCGGAAAATCTGTTCAGACACAGGTATTTGCCCTATGCCCTCTGCCATGAAGGGAGTCAAAAGAAATTCAGCAATTTCTGTTATCCTCCAGCGATCCATCCACCTGCATAGCTGGTTTCTTGCTTCTGTTGTAAAGAATTTGTTGTTGCTGGTTACATCCTCCTCAAATTGCTTTTTTGCATCTTTGCCTCTCTGCTTGCACCTCACTTGCTCTCCTCATTTCCAGAGGCTTCCATTTTCCAAAGACACCCCCCTCTCTCACACAGCTGCCTTGATTTTGCTTGTTCACCCCGCTGGTGACTTCTTGGGCTTGGGACTCCCCTTCCTAACTTGTCCGTGGAGGCTGTCCGCGTATCCTGCAGGAAGGGGCCTGCGAGGCCATCTATTCCACCCCCTGCTACATGCAGGCCTCCCCTGTGGGGTTCCCCAGTGCCAGCAGACCTGGGCTCCTCTCCATGCCTCACCCACACATTGAGACTCCTCAGCTGTGCCTGTGCAGCTGGCCCTGCGCGTGGAGCAGGTGGCATGGCAGAGAAAAACATCTCGGTGGTTTCAGTTACCTCCCTAGAAATCCAGATTGGGCTTCCAGGACCTCCTGGCTGCTATATTTACCCACAGCACTGGGACCAGCTTGGGTCAGTCTCTGGCTCCATCCTAGCTTGCTGTGCAGTGCTTCCAAGATGTCGCACGACAACTGCAACCTTCGCACCATGTTCACCATGGGGGCTGCCACCCGCTGCACCAGTCCTCCGACTCCAGAAGCACGGCCTCGGCACAAGGGACGGTCACTCCTCTTCTGAAGAAAGGGTCCCTTCTGAGGAATTGTTTCCTTCTCCCTTGAAATGGTGCCCTTGTCCCCTGCGACCCACACCTGTCACCCAGGCCTGCCTCCCTCGGCTCCTCCAGGCCAGCGCACTTGGCTCAGAGGGAACGGACTTGTTTCTTGAGAGACAGGAGCCCTCCAGGTTGCATCGCAGGGAGTACTTCCTGATGGTTAGAGCCCTAGGATATGGAATGGGAGGTGGTGGAGGCCCCACCAGGGAGGGTGTTCGAGGAAAGATTGGACAGCCACATGTTGAAGATTACCTGAGCAGAGCCGGCTGGAGCTGGGGGTCAGACTAGATGGCCCAGGAGGCCCCTCCTGACTCGCTCTATTTCTGTGTTTCTGTGTTTGCATTACAGCAAGCCATGACTTTGGTCCAGTGGCCAGATAAGCACAGAGGTGGCACCCAGAGCGATAGGGTGGCCAGCCCTTGTACCCGGCTGGCTTCCTGCCTTCAAACTGGCTTCAGTTGCTATTTTGGGGGTTACTGACCTGGAAAACAAAAGTCGTTTACAAGGAGATGGTGGCGAGATTTATTTATAATGTATAAATATTAATTTATAAAGTTTATTGTTATTAATTTACCGTGTGCTGTTACTTTGTATGAAAAGGGGAGGAAGAGTCAGCATCTTGGCCCTCGCCCTGTTGCTGGACTCGCCTGCGGGCTAAGTTCACTTGTTTGCAGAACTTTCTCACGAGGACTGAGATGCTTCGCCACCGTGGCACTTGCTCAGAGACGGTCAGGGCTGAAGCGCCTTCTCTAGAAGGAAAGGCAAAAATTTGGGGGCTGGTTTTGCTCATAAAATGGGGCAGAATTCTAAAACACCGCATGGTGGAATCTAATGGAAAAAGGTTTCTTTTCGTCTCTTTTAGTAGGAGCTGAATGAAGTTGGTGAGCTTGGGAAGAAATTCAGGACAGACCCAAAAAAAAAAAAATCACAACATATTGCAGAATTACTGGGCCTTTCTTGTATTCTTTGGTTCATCTTTTGGAAGGTCACAAGAAAGACTCACAGGCATACCTCCTCATTTCCCCAAGCTTGCATCTTCCAGATGTCTTGGACTGCAACACCCATCACTCCCAGCCAGCAGGGCCCTTGGCTGCTAAATAAAGGTTTTATTTAGTGGAAAGGAGATAAGTCTTGGCTTCGTAGGCACACAGAGAGGTTATTTGAGGAGCAACGGCAGGGGGAAGCGATTGCCCAGGGGCAGGCAAAAATACCCCAAGTCCAGGATCGAGTGAATTTGCAATTCCGCTTGTTCCATTTCAAAATGTGTATTGCAGACTTGGTGGAGATACAGAAATGGGCAAAAGGAACACTTCTCGGGAAAAGGCTTCTGTATAGAGCCGGTTGGGGTTTTAAAAGGAGCTGACCTCAAGAAAGGGCCGACTGTCTCTCCTGGGGAGGGAGCTGGCTGGAGGTGTGCAGGATGCTGTGGAAGCGTTGCCCTGCAGTTCCCCTGCATCCCTCCAGAGGCCTCCCTGGGGCAGCAGCCGAAGTCTTGATCTCCATCACAATCCCCAGCAGCATCCCACTCCTGGTGGCTTCCAGAGCAAGAGGATCGACCTGAAAGATGCAGGGCAATCAGAAAGGGTCCAGCGGAGGACAACAAAAGTGATCCAGGGTTTGGAAACACTGCCCTGTGAGGAGACACTGAGAGAACGGGGCATGTTCAGCCCTGAGAAAGGGAGAAGACTGAGGGGGGACATGATATCCCTCTATAAGGACCTCAAAGGCTGCCACAAAGAGGAAGGCCAAGGTCTCTTCTTGCTGATGCCAGAGTGCAGGACACGGAGTAATCAAGTCAAGCTGCAACAACCCTCATTCCGGCTGGACATCAGGAAAAGCTTCCCCACTGTCAGAGCAGTACGGCAGTGGGACCAGCTGCCTGGAGAGATGGTGGGCTCTCCCACACTGGAGACATTCAAGGGGAAACTGGACAGCCCCCTGAGTGGGATGGTGTAAACTGGTGTCCTGCAACAGCAGGGGAGTGGACCCGATGGCTTTCCTGGCCCCTTCCAACTCTACTATTCTGTGATTCTATGAATCTGGCAGTGTGTTTGACATGTCAGGGGAGGCCTTGAAGCTTCCAGGTCTTTTCCCCCAAAGGGCACCCAAACTGGTCACCCACCTCTGCCAGCCCAGACCCCTTACCTGGAAGTCCTCCCCCTGTTCAGGTAAGCCTGTTTCTGAGCAGATATATTTGTCTGTGGGGAAGGACAAGTATATAAAACCACAGTGGGTGGAAAGAAGCCTTCCCCACTTTGAGACCCACCACCAGATGATGGGAGTTGTAGTTGAAGGATGTTGGGTTGAGGGATGCCAGGGCAGAGAGCATATGTGGAGCAAAATTACTCTCTCCGAGTTTGAGTGTGTCAGAAGTCAGGGCCAGTTCTGCTTCTGTGCAGACAAAAGGATGCATTCCTGCAGAGTCGTGTCCTTTCCTAAAATGGAGATGAGACAGATTCAAGGAGAAGGTGTCCTCTCAGTTGGCAGGAACCGTGATCAGAAGCTCTTGTCTCTCTCGGAATTTCCTGGGACAATCAAGCTGGGCCTAATAAGGTGATACGGATTTTTCTTGTGGTCCAACGGGTGTTTCCGCGTTCTTCACCATCAACCGTTGCCACTGAACGTGGCTGCCACCCACAGGTGCCACTGCAGGTCTGGTGACACGGATGCTCTCCCGGAAAGAATCTGGGCACACGTGATAAAAGCCACTTTTATGCGGTTTTGCACAGGGCGTGTAAACTAGAAGCCTGCAAAGTTCTTCCAGATCTCCAGGGAACGCGTCCGAGCATCTCTTGATTTCTCATGGGCTTGCATATGAAGACACAGGTGTGCAGTGTGCCATTGCGGACGCTTTGCTGCTTGGCCGCTAGAATATTGGCAGCCGGCCACTGGCCACCAGCTGAGCCAAAGACGGAGATGCGCAGAGGGAGCCTGGCCGTCTTGGGCTGACCACCCTCATGGTGGCAGAGCGTTGGCCTCTTCGCGTGACCTGCAGCCTTGGCCAAAGGTTGGTCTTCTCCAGCCAAGAGAGGAGCCGATCCTGGGGCCGATCCTGTTCAATCTTTTCATCAACGACATGGAAGGAGGGGCGAGCAGTCTGCTGATCCAATTCGCAGACGACACTAAAACTGGAGCAGTGGCCACAACTGAGGAGCAGGTACTCCGGATCCAAAAGGATCTGGACAGACTATGGAAGTGGGCAGGAGACAACAGGATGGCGTTCAATGTGGATGAGTGCAAGGTCTTGCACTTGGACATAGGAAAAGGTGTAATACAGAAAATACAGAGTTGACCTGAAAACAGAAAAGGACACGTGTAGGATGTGGAACAAAAGTCAGGTGACAGGAGTACAGAAGTGCATACAAACATAGCGAGCCAGAAGGGGTCTTCTGGGCCATCTAGTCTGACCCCCAGCTCCAGCCGGCTCCGCTCACGACATGCCTACCATGTGCATGTCCAGCCTATCCTTGAACACCCACACTGAGGGGGCCTCAGCCACCTCCCGTGGAAGCCCATTCCACACCCTCGGGGTCCTTACTGTCCGGAGGGGCTTCCTGGCATCCGAACTGAACCTTCGTTCCTTGAGCTTTGCTCCACTGGGACCGGTCCTGCCCTCTTCTGCAGGGGAAAAAAGGTCACGACCCACCTCTGCATGGAACCCCCCCACATGTACCTATAAGTCACCAATAGATCCCCTAACCTGTACTTATGACACCTATTCCTATGCCCAAGTGCAAGACCTTGCACTTACAAGTGGCTGGAGAGCAGCACTTGTGAAAGGGACCTCGGGGTGCTGGTTGACTGCAGGCTACACATGAGCCAGCCGTGTGATGTGGTGGTCAAGAGGGTGAACGCCACCCTTGGCTGCATAGCCAGAAGTGTGGCTTCTGGATCGAGAGAGGTGTTACTGCTACTCTACATGACTCTGGTGTGCCCGCAACTGGAGTATTGTGTTCAGTTCTGGGCCCCTCATTGCAGAAAGGATACAGCCAGGTTGGAGTCAGTGCAGCAAAGGGCCACAAGGCTGGTGGCCGGTTTGCAGGGGATGCCATATGAGGCGAGACTGAGGGAACTGGGTCTCTTCAGCCTGGAGATGGGGAGACTCAGAGTGGATCTGTTGGCGACATACAGGTATGTGAGGGGGCGTCACACGGAGGTGGGGAGAGACCTGTTCTCCCCTGCAGAGGAGGCAGGACAAGCTCCAATGGAGCAAAGCTCAGGGAACCCAGGTTCAGTTTGGATGCCAGGAAGCACTTCCTGACAGTTGGGACCCCCAGGGTGTGGAATGGGCTTCCACAGGAGGTGGCTGAGGTCCCATCGGTGCGGGTGTTCAAGGATAGGCTGGACGTGCACATGGTGGGCGTGAGCAGAGCCGTCTGGAGCCAGGGTCAGACTAGATGGCCCGAGAGGCCCCTTCTGACTCGCTCAGTTTCCATGTTCCTATGTCTGAGCATCTCACAAGGGTTGCGGTGGTACTGTGGACCATTACTGAGATGCAGGTTATCAGGTCGTCTGCACCCAGTCCAGATAACCAACCAAGGAAAGCTCTGCGGTTGCTCTGCGGTTCACAAGCCAGGGCCCGGCAGCACCTGGGACCGCACATTTCCAGAGCAGTCCCTGGTTCAGTGGCAGCCCCAGCTCCGGCCACACTCAGCACTCAATGTGGGCTGCTCTGCTGAGAATGATAACCTGAACAGGATCAGTCCCGGGGCAGAGCCCTGGGGGACCCCACTCGTCACCAGCCGCCATCCTGATAATTCCAAATGGGATCTCAAGGAGAAACGGCTGCCACAAATGATCCCAACCCTTTCTGGCCGGGTGGGCATATTTCTAGCAGTTTTTAGGGAGAGCTGTGGGCATGCTCTTAAAATGGATGCCATGGGAGGAAGGACGTTCCCAAATGCCAGCGGAGAAGGAAGTTCCCACTCCCAAAGGGGCTGGCAGGGAGAGGTCACAAAAGGCAACTTCCCCAGAAGGCCAATGGCTCTGTTTCAGTTGAATTAAAATGCCTACACCCAAAGGCACACACACAATTGAGAGGGTCAGGAACCAAGGGAAGCACCAAAAGGGGAGGTGCCCATGGGCACCACCTTGGAGATTGTGGCAGGACCGGAACAGCTTTCTCCGATCGTGTTCCTTCCAGAATCCCCCTTTGGGTTTCGCAAAATGGCACCGTTCAGCCGCAGTCCAGATTGTTGTCTC